AACTGCCAGTTCACTCACATGGTTTGTATTCTTAACCTCCTAAATCTAGCTTTTAAAGAGCCATGTGCAGCAAATAGATGTAAGTGAAGAAACAGCTTCCAGTTTGTGGCATTCAGACATGTTGAAGATTAACTAGCAATAATTGTTGATGCTCATAACATGTGACGGACAGAAAAGCAGTCACAAAATGGGCAATGGTGGTTGCCTGTGTTGTTGTTTGCCTGAATGTTGTCCCTGGAGGCAAAGCAACCGCAAGTTATGAGCCTTATTGTACTAGGCAGTATACCAACACGTCAAAGTAAACATGGGAGGAAAATGGCAAAAAAGGTGACCTGCTCAAGGTTATGCAGCAATCCTCAGCAGAGTCAGGTGCTATTTTGTTAAGACAGAGCCACACCGCAAATTTGAAGCCTGTGCAATGTACATTTAAATCATAATCATAATTTATTATTTATAGCCCGCCCATCTGGCTGGTTCCCCCCAGCCACTCTGGGCAGCTTCCAACAAAACACTAAAATACAATAACCTATTAAACATTAAAAGCTTCCCTAAACAGGGCTGCCTTCAGATGTCTCCTAAAAGTTTGGTAGTTATTTTTCTCTTTGACATCTGGTGGGAGGGCGTTCCACAGGGCGGGCGCCACTACTGAGAAGGCCCTCTGCCTGGTTTCCTGTAACTTGGCTTCTCGCAGCGAGGGAACCGCCAGAAGGCCCTCGGCGCTGGACCTCAGCATCCGGGCAGAACGATGGAGGTGGAGACGCTCCTTCAGGTATACTGGACCGAGGCCGTTTAGGGCTTTAAATGTCAGCACCAACACTTTGAATTGTGCTCGGAAACGTGCACATGACTTCCCCCAAAGAATGTTGGGAACTATAGTTTCCCTGTCCCAGAATTACAGCTCAAACTACAGTTCCCAATGTTCCAAATTTCAGGATATATTACTGTTTTCATTTATTTTTTGCTGATCTGCCTGCTTTTTGTCAGTTGTGGGAAGAACTAGCAAATAGCATTTTAAATTGCCCTGCTTAAACTGAAGCCAAGATAAAGTGTCCTGTTTATGCACTTTGACAAATAAAAGCATATCAAAGACAAAATGTTTTAATCTTCCAATTGTAAACTCCCAATTGTAACACATAGATGACCATGCCTGCATGTTTAAACACCCATGTTCACACATCAGGAACTCCCGGCCCAATTTGAGCTCCCAGGCACACACACAGGTGTTTAAAGATACAGATTTGTTTGTTCAGTTTCTTACATTTCTATCCCACCTTTCCTCCATGAAGCTCAAAGTGGAGTACATAATTCTCTTTCCCTGTTTTATTCTCACAACCATCTTCTGAGGTAGGTTAGGCTGAGAGTGAGTGACTAGCCCAAAATCACCCAGTGAGCTTTGCAGCTGAGTCAGGATTTGAACCCTGCTCTCTCAGGTCCTGTGTGGTTTGCTGTGGGCGAACGGTGATACAGCATCAAAATACTGTATCTGCAGCAGTTGTGTGGCGTCAGCAGTTGTGTGTAGACAGAGTAGTATGTTTGTTTTAAAACACCACCCAATACAAGCAGAGATATTTTTGCAACTCTTATGTTTCCTTTGACCAGCAGATGTCTCTGTTGATCTATCTGAGACCTTGCCAAAAAACCTAACCTCAAGCTTTCCATAAATTACATGTGTAGACACTGAAGATTGGATGGAAAGTCTTGTTGGACCATGTGCCACACCGGGGTGAAGGCATCCTGTTTTATTTGTCCCCATTTCTGGTTTGTTGGTTAGCTTTTCTAGTAAGGCTGTTTCCCATACAGTTTGGTACCAGTGGTCCATGGTTCACATCTGACAGGTCCCTCCATAGTCTCGCTATGATGCTCTTGGCTGCTGAGAGTAAGTTGGGTTATAAGCGCTTTGTGGTGTGAGTGTGTGCTATTGTCTTGGAAAATATTCAGTAGAGCTACTTCTGGGGTGTCTTCTAATACCTGTTTCATTATGTTGCATATTTCTTATAGGACTGATGTCCAAAAAGGTTGCAACCCAAGATAATCTGTAATAAAAACAATTGAATTTTTTTTAAAAAAATTGGATAGAAAGTTGATGGCTGTGTTACTTCATTGGGGCAGCCCCGTTAACAAAACGTATTGGCCTTTCTGGGAGAAGGAAATTAACATCTAGTCACAAAACGAATAGAATTAAAAACACTTCAGCGTATTAGAATACGGCAAGTGCTATACCAGAGGTGGCCAACATTGGGCTCTCCAGATGGCCCCATGATAGCCAGAGCTGATGAGATTTGTAGTCCAACATCTGCGTGCCAAAAGTTTAGCTACCCCTGAGGTAATGCAATGAAAGTGAGATGTATTTATTTCCCACATCTGCACCCCAGCCTTTCTCCAAGGGTGAGATTATTTCATAGATAATCTATGAAAAGTAGGTTAGGTTGGCTTGTTTAAAGCCAGCCATTGACTTCTCTGGTTAAGTAGAACCTACAGGTTCCCAACTTGTTCTCTTGGTTCTGTATATTCAGGGAGCTTGCTTTCTACTAAGTACAGGGCCCAGCTATCCCTTGGCGTATGGGAACAAGAAATTACCTATGGATGAGCCTGCCTGGAAAGAAGCACCATATTATGCACTTCTGAATTAATGCAGCTCTTCTTAAACGAGTCCTCTTGGATCCCTATCACCACCAGTTTACAGTAGAGTAGAATCAGGCCTATTGTTTTCATATTGTTGCCAGAAGGAAAAAAGGACAACGTGTACCAGGAAATGTCAGGGGTTGTCTGAATAACACTCTTTAAACTTTAAAGCGAGAGGGCTGGTGGAGATCCTATGTCTGCACATCTGGCCGTAGTCTCTCTCCATATCTCTTTCCAAACGACTCTTCTTGCTCTTTGAAAGAGAAGTGTTCTGAAGAGGGGAGGGGAGGGAGATGTAAGGAGTCCATTTAGAACCCAGCTGTGAACTCTATTAATTCCCATGGTTACTGGTTCGGTAAAGGCTATTTATATATCTGTATCTAGAATAAATATGCCGTGCACAAAAAGGGTCTGAAAATGAAATTTTGGAGGGGAAGGAAAGCAAGACCTTGTTTTTCACTCAGGAAATGATACAAGTGTTGCATTTCACACCTTAGGAATAGGCATTTTCTATACACTCTCCACATCTATGTTGGAAGATTTCATGTTTAAAACTAGTGTGATGGCAATTCTGGGCGAGGGATTGATTTTAGGTGCAAAAGCTGGTGCTTCAGGAATTGGGTGGTGAAGCGTCTGAAAAAATCCAAAACAACCCCAACCAACGATGTTTATTCTCTTCTTTCATGCCTTTTCATGGCTATTTCCCCTTAGTCTGATGTTGTCTAACTCGAAAGGGCTTCTTTACTACTTGATCATAACCAATCATGGAACATGCAGGCTCTCAGATTTTGCTGTATGACAATGCCACTGGGGTTAAAAACAACAACACACAATTGGTCTCACCCTGACAGCAGGAGTGAGGAAGAAGGAATGTGTTCATATCTCCAGGCAATGCTGTATTGGATATTTCACTGCAATAATTCGTCAGGATCCAGCTCTGGTCATAACATTTTATTTAAGTTTAGTTGAGTCAGAATGTGACTATAGAGATGCACATTTTTCTGATGCGGTGCAGTGTAGATGGGCCACACTCTGATTCAGATGGGCATCCGAATAGGGATACAGTCCATTTGCACGACATTATTTTCTGTGGTACAGTCATGCACACTCCCAACTACCCCAGCTAATAGTAAACAACATGCAACAGGGGCAGAAGAGTGTCATGTCTCAGCAGTTCCCTTTGCTTCTTGAGGCCCACCTCTTTATACAGTTTTACACCTTTTTACAAAAGTGTGCAAACATTCCCAAAACCGGGAGAGTAGGGGCTTTGCCTTTTCATTGTAAATGAAATGATCTCCCCAATTCAGCTCTGCCAAATTATCTGACTAAAACTCCAGTTTACTACTTTGAAAGCCTGTATGTATGTGCACCAGCACTGCAAACAGAATTCATATCCAGTGGAATTGCTTCGAGGCTAAATAAGCTTTTCATAGGGTTTGGAAATGAGGCTTGTGTGATAGCAATGAGGGCGTTTTGCAACTTTCTGATAATGAAACACTTTTTCAGCTTGATCCATAGCCTAGATATATATATATATATATTCTTGATTTTAAAACTGATTTAGCTGTATTAAATGCCCTGGTACTTGGAAAAGAACTTGCATTGCAAGTAGGTTTGAATTGCATAGATAAGAGTGAAGTTTTAAGGAGATAAATACTGCACATATGTCAAGTTCCTTGGAAAGATCGTGGAATTTAGTTACCTGACCCACAATCTGTGCAAGGTTTCCTTTTTAACAGCCTCTTTCCAACACCCATTAAAAGCAAACTTCTTTGCACTTAATGTAGCTTTGTGAAAAGCCATTCCCTTGAGATTTGCACCCCCAGGTTACATTAATTTCACAATAAATTCTCATGCAATTTTAACTTGTAACATTTTAAACTTGTTCATAAATAACCTGAAGTTAGGGTAAACTGTCAAAGCAGACAACACTGAGATATGTGGACTAAGGGTCTAATGGTCTTAGATTCACTGCTTCGTATGTTCACATTTACATATACATGACCAAACACTAAGGACTGTTTTTCTTATACAGTGGTATCTTGGTTTTCAAGCATCTTGGAAGCCGAACATTTCAGTTTTCAAACGCTGAAAACCCAGAAGTAATTGCTTCCATTTTCGAATGCGCCTTGGAAGTAGAACGGCTTCTGCTGCAGTTTTTTTCCAATTTTCTCCATTGACTTTGCAGCCAGCCCTTTGCGCCTTGGTTGTCAAACGTTTCGGAAGTCGAACGGTCTTCCAGAATGGATTTTGTTCGACAACCGAGGTACCACTGTATTTCCACACCATGCTATATCTTTTGAATCCACTGTCTCTTATCAGAATGCAAAGACCGGCAGCCTGTTGTGGTACCTCAGATAAAGTGAAGGAACAACTAGTCTAGTTCTGAATTTTAGTTTATTCGTCGCCTATTCATCAGCTGACCATTCCACACTGGTCTTCCTTCCATTTCATATTGGGCCTTGTATTCTAAAAAGCTGGAGTCCTGTATGGATTGAAGGACATACAGAATAATCAGTATGTACAACAGAGGTAATTCGACTTTCAAACAGATATACCCAATACAAATTTCCTGCCCTGGTTATCTTCCACTGACTCCACTTGGGTGATTCTGAGATGACCAATAAACATTCTGAAACCATGAGCTCACCATTGAAACAAACCTCTTCTTGCAAACAGGCAAATATATTTTTGTGGAATGGATAGGATTGCCAGCTGGCCAGAATTTTACTGGTCTGGTTTGTATAACTGGTCTTGTCTAGCAGTTTAAAAAGTGTTGAGTCAGTGAACTTTGGAGCCAGCATGAAGAAGGCTTGTTGTAATTTCTATATTAAAATAAAACAAAGAGTCATGTGGTAACTTAAAAGGCTGAGGATTGTATCCAACTAAGTTCTACTCAGAACTTAGCTAGTCATGTCCATTAATTTCAATGGGTCTACTCTGAGTATGACTAGTTAGATACAACTCTTATCAAATTTATTGTTAGAGTTGGCACCTTGCGCTTGGCAGAATCTACCATCATAACACACTGGTCTGCTGAATCCTTCACCCCCTGACCTCTCACCTGGAAGGCTAGTCTTTTCGAAATGAAAAGTTGGCAACTCTAAGACTAAAAGAGATTTCTTGTGAGCACTTATAATCTTTAAGGCAGGCATAGGCAAACTTGGTCCTCCAGATGTTTTGGGACTACAACTCCCATCATCCCTGACCACTGGTCCTGTTAGCTAGGGATGATGGGAGTTGTAGTCCCAAAACATCTGGAGGGCCGAGTTTGCCTATGCCTGTGTTAAGGGGAAGGGTGAAAGAGGATTCTGACATTATGCTCCCAAAAGCACACACAGGTACAAACAAAATATTAGATGGAAACTGTTTTATATCTTTTACATTCAGCTAGTTTGAAGATTGCTCCAAGCGAGTCTAAAATGTGCAAAAGCACTGAGGGCATAGGCTAGGGTCAACACAGAATAAAACATGTTCTTAGGCATGCTTAACTGTGTGACCTGGTTTGAAGTTTTGGACACAACACTAAACGATAGTTTAGCATTATGTGCACACAGAAGAGCTCGTTTCCAATTTTCTTAGCTAACTGCAATTCATTGTTTCATCTAAACGGGAGAACTGGGGCTAGTTTTAGCTATGCTTTTATCCAAACAAGCCAGGGTCAGAAACAATTATTTGCTCTTGGGTTTGTTAGGACAAACCATAGTTTGTCCTGTTTAGCATAAGGTGGCAACCTGAGGTTAGCTGAAAACAAAAGTGGATAATTCCAATCTCCTTGTGGCTATGCCAGAGGATGGTAGGGTAAAGTGCACAAGCCTACCTGCTCCATGCCTTGCTGGTGCCCCTCACCCTGAAATCTTACCAAAGGGTGGAATGGGATGGCTGGCAGTGGCAGCAGATAGCAAAGGGAGACTGGTGGCAGCACAGAAAGCAAATCCAGGTGCCTAAAACTCCCTCAGCCCAGTGCTACAGAGAAGTGCTGAATGAGGCTGTTACAGCCGCCGCAATTTCTTTCCTTATCCCCAATGCCTCTGCACCCCACCACCCTCATAAGTATCTCATATATTCACGTCCCGTCCCCCACAGTGCTACCCATGTGGTGATATTAACCAATTTGTGGCTACTCCTGTTTTTCCTTCCGCTTCTTCTGCCTCGTCCAGATGGGAAAACAGCACAGCCAGCTGCTTTCGGGCCTGCAAATGTAAATTCCCACAGTTCATTTCTACATATATAAGGACATAATCTAGAACAAAGATTTCTTAAGTGTCAAGAATGTAGCTCCAAAGAGGAAACCAACTAAATTAGGGCAGCATAAAGGCAAGAGATCGATAGCCAACAAGTACAATAAGGAAAGATGAAAAGAACCCAGTCCTGAATTGAGAATATTCCTCCATGGACCTCTCAACAAGGCCCTGTAGAACATTTTTCTTCCTTTACCTATCTGGCTTGGTGACAGCAGCAGTGTTGGGGAAGGAGATCTGGTGGCCTAAGATACTTATTTTTTTAATATTCATATCCTGCCCTTCCTCTGAGTCTTAGCACAACCTTTGTGGTTCTTCCTCATTGGCTATCTCCATTTTATCTCCTCAACCAACCTGTGAGTCAGGTTAGGTTGAGAGGGGATGACTGATGGTCCAAGTGAGCTTCATAGCCAAGTGGGGATCTGAATGTGGATCTCTCCACTCTTAGTCCGACTCTCTAACCGCTACACCATGCTGGCTCTCCCTGTATAATAGCATTGTGTGAGGATCCCATCTCGAAGAACAGAAATGGCAAATGCCTAGTATCCATTTAAGTGGACCCACACTATTCTAAAGGCAGGTGGAATGTGAGTCAGCATTGTGCGGTAGATAGTGTTGGACTTGGACAAAGCAGAGCCGGGTTCAAATCTCTGCTTTAGTCATGAGGTTCACTGGCTTACCAGTGGGTGAATCACTGTCTCTCAGCCTAACCTACCTCATAGGTTAGGAACAAATGAGGAAACCCCCAATCACACTGCCCTGACCTCCTCAAGGGGAAGATGTGTTACAAATGTAGTAATGAATTGTAGTACCGTAATACATGTGCTGAATGAGAATTTCAAAGACTGAGTAGCAGCCCTGACCTACAAGCACACAAGCCCATCCCTCTCACAGGCTAAGGCTATAGAGTGATGGTTACAATCCAGCACCTATGTTAAATATAAATAAATTGTTAAAAATAAATAAATCCAATTGATTAGATTGACATATGCTCAGAGGAAGGATTGTGTAGCTCAGAGGCAAAGCACCAATAATGAACTACTGTTTTGGGAACCCGTCATATGACAGAGCCATATTCCTGCAAACGAATTACCGAGTTTTCTCACATTATTCAACTGTTGGCTTCACTGACTCATCTTAACAAACAGAAGCAAGAAGTCAAGTGAGACTGCAGTTGTAGGCACACTTAAAAGCAGAACACAACTTGTTTGGGGTTGCTGTTTTTTATAAAAAAGAAAGCAAGTACCGCGAAGCAGAGACAGCCGTATACATTTTACTGCCTAGCATTCCCTGCCCCTCCTCAATCAATTCAAAGTGTGTACCCAAGTTATTTTGGCACCTGAAGCAGAAAATCTTATTGGAACATAGGAAGCTGCCTTAAACCGAGTCAGACCATTGATTTATCCATTGCCAACACTGACTGGCACCATCCCTCTAGGGTTTTCAGGCTGAGGACAATCCCAGACCTCCTTCGGGATGCTGGGGATTGAACCTGGAACTTTGTGCATGCAGAGTGCATGCTTTGCCCCTGAGCTACACAGACCTTCCCCTGAGCACCTGCCATCCTCCCTGGCAGTAAAATCAGGTAAGCCAGCTATCTAATGCAAGGGTCAGCCTGCAGCCCTTTGAAGACAACTCTGAACAACCACATGCAACACGCGGCTAATAATGTTCTAACAGAATATTTGTAACATGTATTATTTGAAGACAAAGCAGTGTACATAGGCCTTAGCAGTTAGCATATGGGACCTGCTCCTCCTAGTGGTCAAAGTATCTAGCAATCAGTGTTATCAGGAACGGATGGATACCAGGGAAGACTGGGGTGGGAAAATATCAATCATTTACCAGGTTGCTGCTATTCCAAATATAATTTTTGAAATGTTTATAACCAGCCACTAAGAGGAATTCTGCATGAGCCCAATCAGTAAGCCCATTTAATAGCATCTGATTTATTCTCCCAGAGAGTCCAACAGCCATAAAAACCACCTGGGTGTGGAATCTAGATGCACGTTAAAAACATTGTGAAAAATGCTTTTTTTAAAAATCGTTTTGAAAAATGCGTTGAATTTGCTGTAGCTCACAGTCGCCATACCTAGTGTCACAATTGTATATTGCACCTTACAGCAATGGTTGGCCATTGTGAGAACAAGATGCTGGACTAGATGGGCTTTTGGTCTGATCCAGGAGAACTCCTCTTATGTCCATAGAATTGTAGAGTTGGAAGGGGACCCCCAATGGTCATCAAGCCCAACCCCCTGCAGTGCAGAATGTCCCAGTATTCTGTGCCCACAATGCCTATGCAAAGCCCGCAAGAGGGCATGAACACTCTCCCTCTGATGATATCTAGCAACTGCTGTATACTACATCATGTAGTAACACCTTTACCACACCATACATTTAAGGCATATTTAAAGCACATGACTTTCCTCAAAGCATCCCTGGAACTGTACCTCGGGTTGAATATGCTTCATGTTGAGTGCTTTCAAGTTGCGCTCCGTGGCAACCCGGAAGTAACATGCTCCGTTGACGCTCAAACTGACGTCACACGCATGCGCAGAAGCGGCGAAAAGTGATGCGCACATGTGCAGACGTGCCGTCGCTAGTTACGTTTGCTTCTGGATGCGAACCGGGCTCCAAAACGGATCCCGTTCACATCCTGAGGTACCACTGTAAATACCCTCTCAAAGAACTACATTTCCCAGCAACCCTGAACAAACTACATCTCCCAGGATTCTTTGGGAGAAGCTGTGTGCTTTACATGTACATCGAGCATGCTTTAGATGCCTGGTATAGATCTGCCCACTGTTGTTGTTGATTGGGAACCACAAGTAGCATGGCACATTTTCCTGCATATGAGCAAATGTAAACACCTTTTTTTTTGCCAACTGGGAAAGATAGCATGCAAAAAAATGTCCAGAGAGCAAAACCTACAGCTGTTAGCCTAAGCCTGCTTTACTGGGAAGTAAGCAGCAATGAAATTAGTGTGGCAAAAAGAGCTAAGCAAACATATTTGGGATTTAGGAATGAAATGCCTTCCACTATTCTGGACCCACAGCCATGTTTTTGTAAAACTAAGCATTTTTAAGCTGGCCTTTCCCACCAATGTCTTGCACAACAAGTAAAAATATCGCCATACAGCGTTTCGGGAGATTCCTCTTCCTTTTCATGCTGCTTCTCCTCTGTCAAGATTTCTTCAGTTTTCTGAGTCAGAGAAATTTTAAGAAATAGTGAATTCTTTGTTAATGCTATAACCTAATAATCTATAACAATGAAAACAAGTAGAGTTCTTTTCTGGGAAACTTTTTGCTAAAAAAAAACTTGCTCCAGGGTCATGCACAGTTCAAAACATGTGACTTCAGTGAAACTATTCCTTAAAAAGAAAAAGAAAAAAGCTTCATTGCATTGCTAGTTTTGGACAAATGGTGTATTTAATTCAGGCCTCTCTTTGTATGCCATGGAAAAGCGCTTTCAATACTGGCTAGGCAACGCTGAAACAATTTCTTTCTACTTGCAAGGCTTGATTGTTTATGATATGTGAACCTGAGGCAATTCAACTAGACTTTTAGATTTAAGGTTCTTTTTGCCAAACATGCTATTGTAATTCTGATAAGTTTCATTCCTGCCCTCCCCCCCCCATTGGTAAAGTTTTATATTGCTGACATTTTAAAATTATCTTCAAATTTTGTATTGTAAGCTGCCTTAAGGGTCTGACAGAAAGGCAGGTAATAGCGTTCGTATTTAAGTGCAACAAGGCATTCACCCCAAACCTGCAAGAAAGATTGTTTATACAACCTAATCAGGATGAATGTGTTTATTGATACAGACAGATGAGGGCCTCTCCATCCATCCAAGACTGCTGTCAACTAATCCTAAATTGAAGTTAGGTTTACGCTGCATACAGTGAAATGTGGAGTCGTTACGTTTTGTATAAAGTGTGATGCCATGTTTTCTACCTTCTCCCACAAAAAACATTTCACAGTATCCATAGTGACATGAATTTTGTTGCATACTTTCAGGTATGTGTGAACATACAAATCTGACTTGAAAGATGCCTGGAGGATTTGCATATAAATGTGAGGCGCAAGTCTTTGACAAATCAAGAGCTCATGAACCTAGTGCCGCAATGCCATTGGCACTGTGAGTTAAACCACAGAGCCTAGGACTTGCCGATCAGAAGGTCGGCGGTTTGAATCCCTGCGATGGGGTGAGCTCCCGTTGCTCGGTCCCTGCTCCTGCCAACCTAGCAGTTCGAAAGCATGTCAAAGTACAAGTAGATAAATAGGTACCGCTCCGGCGGGAAGGTAAACGGCGTTTCCCTGTGCTGTTCTGGTTTGCCAGAAGCGACTTAGTCATGCTGGCCACATGACCCAGAAGCTGTCTGTGGACAAACGCCGGCTCCCTCGGCCAATAAAGCGAGATGAGCGCCGCAAGCGCTGCAACCCCAAAGTCGGCCATGACTGGACCTAATGGTCAGGGGTCCCTTTACCTTTCCCTACTGTGTCAAAAGTCACCAGACAACACAGTATCTTAATAAGACAGCTGTTGTCTTGCTGAATCAGCCCCAATGGTGTCTAGCATTCAGTTTCCAAGATGGGAAGCATACAGGTCTGAGGGTCACTTAGGCTTTTTGTCATATTTCTGAACAATATTATGTCCAAAGTAGTTCTATAAGGTAACAATGCAGCGTGAAAAAATACTTCCTTTCTCACACTCTTTGGATGACATACTCTCCAACATTTCTCTGATGAAAATAGGGATGTCCTATTCAATAATAATAATAATAATAATAATAATTACTATTATTTTATTATTTATACCCACTCATCTGGGCAGCACACTGGGCAGCTTCCAACACATATAAAAACATAACTAAACATTAAACATTAAAAAAACTTCCCTATACAGGGTTGCCTTCAGATGTCTTCTTAAGGTTGTATAGTTAAATATCTCCTTGGCCCCAGGGTTACATAGCTCCAATATTTCTCCGATGAAAATGGGGACGTGCTAAGGAAAAGCAGGACTTTCTGGGATCAAATCAGAAACCAGGATGGCTTCTGTAAATCCAGGACTGTCCCTGGAAAATAGGGACACCTGGAGGGTTTGGGATGAGTGCTTTGGCAGCCATTTCCAGGCCAGCGAATTCAGCTGCAAAGCAGAAGCTGGAATATTGGAGAACGTTCCAGCACCTTCTGCATCTGCCACCAGAGCCCAAAGCTGTGAGAGACCTCAGAAGCAGGTGAGGAAGTCCTGCTCTGTGAACGACTAATACCTGGCTGCTTCAGGCATCCATTTCCAGGCCAGAAGTGCTGCAAAGTGGCACTGGAGGACTGGAGCAACTGCTGTCCAGTGAGGAAACCTTGGCCTGTGAGGGACTAACAGCAGTCATTTTGAAGAAACTTAGGGGACTGAGGGGAGGCTTCTGACACCTTTGTTGCACTAGCTCCTTCTGCATCTTTTACCACTGCCAGAAGGCAAGCTCAGCAACAGCTGGGTGAGGAAGCCCTGATCTGTCATCCAGCTGCTTTGGCAGCCATTTCTGGGCCAAGGGAAGCTTATATGCTCTTTTTGTGATCATACACTTAGTTTACTATATTTTAAATATATTGGAAGCCCCTCAAAAACCTCAGTTAGTAGGCAGGGTATAAGGCAGTCTGAATAAATAAAAAATATATTTTAAAAATTCCTTCATAGTCTTTGCACCATTAGTAATTTCATGACTATCACATTCTCTTACTTTCAGGTTGCCTGAACTAAAAAAAGTCCCCGCTTCTTAACAATTTCTTCCTAATAATCAACACCACGAGTCACCTTTCAATCAACAAACTTAAGATGCCGCAGAGAGCGCCCACTCAGCTCCTGGTGAATTACTGCTCTTTATAAATGCCAAGGGAGTTTGAATTCAGCTAATGACTTCCCACGATCTGCGTTACTAAAAATAAACGATATCTAAATTGGGAAGCATTCTGGTCATACTGCACGCTACAGAACATAAGTGAATGATGCCTCTAATGTGGCATTTGGGGCTGAGGACAGGATATTTTATATCATCAGTCCCCAGAAGCCTTCGTCAATTATCACAGCCTTTAAGAAAAACAACTTGTTTTCATTCTGTGGTTTTTTTGCCACCTACCTTCAACATCTGTTGTCGAGCAGAAAGGCAGGATATAAATATTTTCAATAAATGAAATTTAATAAATGAAATTTAACATAGCAGGAAGAAGACTCCATGGTTCCCTGGATGCAGGGCTTTTTTCCCCAGCCAGTTCCGGCACCTCTCAGGTGGGTGTCATTGCCATTATAAGAGAACAAGGGAGGCGTTCATAGTGAGTTCCTGCAACTCTTTTTCTGAAAAATAGTACTGCCTGCATGTATCCATTCATCACACTTGCATCTTCCCTTCACGAAAATACAGCAAGTCAAAAGTATGTTCACACAACTTATGCCTACCTCTTCGACTCTATCTCTCAAATCAATCTCCACAAATGACAAGTCTTTCTGCAAGAGGAACATAAAATAAGAGAGAACCAAGTTGTAAGATACCTTTAAGATGAAACTACACATTACACATAATGAAAACGTCACAGGTGCTCTTCCTAGGGAAAAAACATATGGTGGGCTTATGTTACATGGCTTGCATGTAAAGTGAGTTAGGTCCTTAGAAGAGGACTAGGGAAGTTCTTAAGGCTTTTATCACATGTGTTTGTGTTAAGTCAATGTCATCATCTGTTAACATTGGCGGCCTTGGGAGCAAAATTGGAACATGGTGGTAGTGCAGGAGGGTATGTGAGGTCAGCAAAGCTACCTTCATAAATGGTATCCCTTCAACTTGCAAAATAATTGATAAGATAGATGGTATCAGGACAACAGTGGGATGTGGAAGGGGCAGAAAAGTGGCTATGGCGAAGGCATTTCAGCCATCACCAAGCTTATCGTCATCTTTTTGGCTTAACTTATTTCATTGCAGGCTTAATGCTTAAATGTTGAAGGATTGGGTATTAATCTCTTAAATCAGGGATGGGGAACGTTTGGCCTTCCCATCAGTCCCCATCAGCATGGCCATTGATGAGAGATGATGGGAACTGCAGTCTAAATATAAAATAAAATAAATCAGCAGAGCTGCAAGCCTACACATTTGGTATACAGTGGTACCTCGGGTTACAGACGCGTCAGGTTACAGACTCCGCTAACCCAGAAATAGTACCTCGGGTTAAGAACATTGCTTCAGGATGAGAACAGAAATTGCACGGCGGCAGCATTGGGAGGCCCCATTAGCTAAAGTGGTACCTCAGGTTAAGAACAGTTTCAGGTTAAGAACGGACCTTCAGAAGGAATTAAGTTCTTAACCCCAGGTACCACCGTATAGTTTTAAGATGTTTTTATAGGATTGGAACTAAAATACAAGAAGGTAGAATGTACCTATAATGACAGCATTCTGGACAGAGATGTTCTTCTCTGGTTCTCTGCTTAGAGGTACATTACATATATTTGAGCATTTTTTCATTTATAGCAAAATACAAAAGATTTTTGCCATCTTTACTGCAGCTGAGAAAGTTTGATAATCAGCACTCAACAGTGTTCTATTGCATTTGTTTGGGGGTTTTCTCTACTTTTTTCAAGCTGCACACCAACATCATTGGCCTCAGCTCTGGGGTGTATCAAGAGGCCAAAATGGACTCTGTCGCACAGGAGAAAGTGCTCAGGGATCCTACTGTGATGATTGGCAGCAAATTTTTCTGCACCAACTATCTTAATTGTAAAACCAAAGTTCATTTCTGCTCTGCATTACCAAACGTTACACTGGTTGGCTGTATATTTTGAGGTTGTTATAAACATGATCAAGACAATGGATGCAGAATTTGCCCCATATTTTATAGGACAGAATCTGCATCAGGTAGAAAAGGTGGCTAGCCTCTTATCTACTGCAGAGATAGCACAGTCTCGGCATACACACACACCAGACTAATAGCCACGAGAAGGAAGCACTCTGTGGAATGGAACAGATTTGAGAAGTCTTCTTTCAGATTCCATCCACGCCCTTGGTATCTCTCAAAACAACCCATTTGCTTCACTGCTGATGAAAGTAAAACCGAACATTGAGCCATTCTTTCTGGGAGTATTACTTGCCTTCATCTCCAGAAGAACGTCTTCCATTTCAGCATCTGACTTTGCTTTCTACAGATTTAAAAAGCAGAAGGTTACGTGTGTTGCGTTTTTAAGAGGCAAGCAAGCCTAATTTCTCTAGTCTGGGCCCACTATGAACTTGTAGCACAGGCTCCCTTTCCCCAAGCTACATAAAAACCCTTGTGCATCTTGGGAAAACTAACAGAAAAATCGGTGCTGTTATATTTATGGCGACCTGGTTCGCCATAGCAACATGGTGTGTGTGTGTGTGTGTGTTTGTGTATAACCCACAAGTGACAAATGCCCTTTAGACCATGTTCCTGGGATCTACGGCCAGTTCTATGGGGAGCAGAGGCTGGACTCATTTACCCACACCTGTTGCAAGGCCTGTCAGTTCAAGCAGCCACCCTGGCTCCCTCTGGCCCTGAAATCTCAGTGTCCCTCTTTATTGTGGGGTTGGTCCCATCCTTCTGCTGCCACAACCTATTGGCTCCTCCTTGTCTGTGCACAGGAAAACTGCCTGGAACTGAAGAACTCTGGGACTTGTAGTCCTTGAAGGAGGACATTCTGCAGGGAAAGTACATTTCTCCCGAGAATTGCAACTCCTAGAATTTCCCATACAATCTGTATTTCCCCCTTTCCCCTCTTTCACGTCTCTGGTGGGCCTGATTCTATTGAACTCCAGCAGCGCCCTCCCTGTAGAATGTCAGTAGGGTTGCCATACCATATTTACTTTTCTATCCTGAGTAGGCTTTTAAGAAAACTCTCTTTTTATGATTGACTTTATTTGGACCGCTGCATGTTTTTGAATTTTTCTTTTTATGTACACTACTTAGAAACTCCAGTGATTTAGTGGCATATAAATTAAATATCCGGGGTGGCCTTGTTGAGCAACATTTTGTTCTGAATGCTGCTGCTTTGGTCTAATGCTATTTCTATTTGGCTTCAGTAAAATACTTAATTACTAGATACATCAGGAAAATAACAGGCCCTCCAAGTGTCCCTATTTTCCAGGGACAGTCCCAGATTTACAGAAAGCTGTCCCAGTTTCTGATTTGATCTTGGAATGTCCCACTTTTCCTTAGGACGTCCCTATTTTCATCGGAGAAATGTTGGAGGGTATGGAGTAACGTGACCCCTGAGCCAAGGAGATAAGTAACAATACAACATATAGAAGGCACCTGAAGGCAGCCCTGTACAGTGGTACCTCGGGTTAAGAACTTAATTCGTTCTGGAGGTCCGTTCTTAACCTGAAACTGTTCTTAACCTGAGGTACCAATTTAGCTAATGGGGCCTCCCACTGCCGCTGCGTGGTTTCTGTTCTTATCCTGAAGCAAAGTTCTTAACCCAAGGTACTATTTCTGGGTTAGTGGAGTCTGTAACCTGAAGCGTCTGTAACCCGAGGTACCACTGTATAGGGAAGGTTTTTTTAAAATGTTTAATTATGTTTTTATTTATGTTGGAAGCCACCCAGAGTGGCTGGGGCAAACCAGTCAGATGGGTGGAGTATAAATAAAATATAATACTAATAAATAAATAAATAAATAAATAAATAGGACATCCCTATTTTCATCAAAGAAATGTTGGCGGGTATGAAATAATTATGGATGACTATCCTAGAACATGATATATAATCTAACTGTCCACACACACACACACCATTTATGGGAATGGGTTTGGAGTCCAAACTGGAACTCCAAACTGGCATGTGGTCCTTGGAAGGTTTCCCACTCGAGGATGCAGCCCTTGGGCTGGAAAAGTTTCCCAACCCCTCAAGTAAACAAACACAGAACTACTTGTACTTAGAATTTTTGTGTTTCCTGACCGTTTTTTCACTGATTTCCACTTTAACAGATTCATCTTGCTCACGACCACTTTCTTTATCCTTTTTATTGTCATACACTTTCTTCTTGATCTCTTTAAGACTGCACAGGAAGAGATATTGACATATCAACAGTTTTATTATACTGATCCGGTTGAACAACTGAACGGAGGTATTTAATTCACAGCAAAAAGTTTCCACTGGCATTTCTCACCTTATTTAAACAGTCATCTGGGACAAAAAGGAACATGCTTTTAAATCTGGACCCTGCTCATTGCAACTTACACATGTTTGTGTGTGCAAGAGAGGAAATGCTAACCATCCTGACGTAAATACAATTATAGCATTAGGTGTAATAATTAAGCCCTTTGCTTGCATTATAATGAGATAATCTTACAACAACTCTTTACGCTCACCAAGATTATAATCTTCCCCAGTATTGTAGAGGGAAGAACTGAAGTGAAGAGCAAGCAGCTTTCCCAAGGCTGCCTAGTGGGTTCATGGCAGAGGCAAGATTGAAACCAGGGGCTTCTGATTCATAGCTTAGTCTCTGAGCTACTGTACTACAGGAATTCACAGCACCTAGGATGTGTCTCCTGCTTGTCGTGAAGCACACTGAAGTGAGGCAAATGGCTCTTTACTGAAGATTACTCTTTATTCTAGTCCCCTTTACATAACTGTTTAGACTAGGCTGAGTTATACTCTGTTACCAGCTAAGGTCTTCTTCTGTCCTCTGTGCTCCTTTCTCTGTGCCCGTAACATCTAGAAAAGAGGAAATAAAGGTTCCATAAACAGTGTCACATATAGGCAGAAATCGAGCTTTTTCTTTTTGAGGGCTACATTCTCCCATCATAAAACAAAACAACCCAAAGGTACCCTAGTAGAGCCAACAATGCAGTGTGCATCATGAATGGTTGTGGAAGATGGTAGTGACTGGACAGCAGATGGGAAGCTAAACTTACTCTAGTAAAACCAAGAGAGATGAAGCCTTCCTCACCTGCTGCCTTGGTTGATAATAAAGCAATGGAATTTGTAGAAACCTAAGGCCTGAGGAAGGCATAGAACACAGGGAAGTGGTTAAAGTTGACATGCTTCAGGACAGGAAAATGCTTACAGGGACCTAAGGAGACAGAGATGTATATATATTGCTGTCAGAAAAGTGGCGGGGAGAAAAATATTTATACTGGCTCCTAGCAAGAGATAGTAGTTGGGAACATGAGTGAAACAGGGCAGACTAGATAGAGAGCAGGAGGAAATTCAGGGACCTGAAACAACAGGAGTGGAAATGCAGAAAGGAGGGAGCAAATCTAGAACGTTTACATCTTGTGTTGGATGAGCTGATTCGAGATTCTGCTGGTGTACTGCTCAACCTGCTGCCTAGCAATTTCCCTGTCTTGAGATGACAGAGGTGGCCTCAGAAATAGTGTTGAGGACCCCCTTCAGATCAGAAGGTAGTGCTGTGGGAAGATAATTCAACCCACAGAGCCTTCCTCGTGGGGTGTGACAGAAAAGTTTGTTTTGCTGGACAGGTTGGGTCACCAGGTATTTTCTTTTTCCCTGCCAGCAAATGGTTAATGAACAGCAGCTTCTGATTGGCCAGGGTTCCAGGAGGGGGAGTTGAAAAAGGAGAGGATTTGGAGAGACAGGTTTCAGGTTGGGAGATAGGGAGTGAGGCAAGAGAGAGTTAGTTCTGGGTAGAAACATCCACTCTTGAGGAATGTATCACAAGGTAGAGAAACGAGTCTCTGCGCTTAGTGTGCAGGACAGTGTGTGGTGTCTTGTAAGAGTAATAGGCCAGGAATTAACTGGGAGGCTGAGCCAGGAGAAGGAGAAGCTGGAAAGATACAGTCTACTTAGGTCTCAAAAAAAGAAAACTCCCAAACCAGTTAAGAGGGGTGTGGTGATCCCTTTGGGTCTGTTACTTGGAGTACTTCAGGAGTAGGGTTGTCAAAGGGGTGTGTAACTGACAGGAAGTACCACCTTGTCTAAGAACCAAAGTATTAAGCAGCAACAGCTGTGCAACAACTGAGAAAGAACTGAAGTGAAATAGCTAGAAATAAGCTGAGCATTTATTCTTTAGTCTAAAAACCTGTAACATCCACCTGAAGTGAAGTAACTGAACATAAGCAACTGAAGTTTAAAAGAAGCTGTGCTTGATTAGAAGTCCATAGCAGCAGTTAGATTTAGTATAAATATTATTAGGTGGACTGTTACCTGAAATAACATAACCTGAAGCATCCACTTTGTGTCATAAACTTCCTTTGTTTAATAAAACCTTTCTTGTTTGTTTGCTCAAATCCTGCCTGAGACTCCAAATCATTAAGTTTTCCCTCACAAAAGTCCCCGACTAGATAATCTGGGGAAATTTGTAGAAATTCGTGTAATTGGTGTACTGTGACGTGGTTGCACTATATTTAAGTGAGGGCCGGCCCAATGGTGCCAGGGTGAAAAAGTGCCGCCGCATGGGGTTCTGCAGGGTTCAACATCTACATAAAACTGTTGTGTGGGAGCATCGGGAATTTTGGAGTATGTTATCTATCTGCATCTGAACTGGAATTGTTTCCCCATGTTTTAATTGTATCATCATTTCTGTGTTGCCCACCCTGGGCTACATGGGAAGAAGGGCAGAATATAGATCAATATATTTTAATCTCAAGTGGTGGTGAATATGCTTAACCGGTGCCTGACTTTGGTGTTGGACTGGATAAGGGCCATCAAACTGAAGCTCTGTTAACACTGTTGACACTGTTAATAGGTGGTTCCTCTGCCAGGATAAGTGGCACCCGTTCTGCCTGGGGCTGCACTACCCCTGAAGAATCAGGTTCATTGCTTAGGGTACTTTCCTCCCAGGCATTTGATAGTTAGCGTTTTGTTGTTTGCTGCCTTTTAATCTCTTGCATGATTTTTGTATTTGTATTTTTGCTGTAAGCTGTCGTGAGATGTTTTTTGTATAACAAATGAATAGTGCATACTGGGGCTTGGCAACTGATGAACTATGGGCCTTCTCTGTTTCTGGAAAAGATACCTGCCCTCCCACAGGTATCAACACAAGAATGAAAGAACCAGCTAATGGTCCACTTTGAAGATGGAAAGTGTGACACTGGCCAATCCCTTCTCAGATTTGCTCTCTGGCAACACTAATTGCTTTCCAGGACTATAGGACAGTAAGGAAACAGAGAGATGAATCAAAAGCTATTCCTTTCTCAGATTTTGTACACAAACAGATTTGCTTGCTAAGTTACTTACCAGCTTCCTGCAATGTCTTTTCGATTAGGCCAGCTAGCTCAGGCTTAAGCGTGTGACCACTGAGCCTAACCGTCTTGCATTTGTGAAGATCTGACGTTTCTGCAATCCGGTGGGACCCTGGCGATAGTTTTGTTGCAAAAGGCACACCTTGCAAACGCTTCCTGTGTGCTATGCTTGCAGCCTTTGACATCTTTTGGTTCTTCATGTTAGCTGAACATGGAGAAATGATGTAGGACTCTCTGTTGATACATTTCTTAAATGTGTTGCCTTGAAAACATGTGACTTTTGTTCACACAGGGTTGTCGTGAAGCTTCTATGACATCACAAATGGTAGACTGAAGCCATTGCCTCATCCACCAAGGCTGCTTCACGGATTGAAAGATCACCTTACACATTCTTCTATGTTTGTTTGGTAAGTACCCATACCAAAATTGTTTCTTTGGCCACCAAGCGCTGGGGAAAGCTCTTTTAACTGTATGTGTCAGCTATGGCTCTAATTGGAATGAATTGTGTGCCATGGTGGTACCATGGTTCTCCATATGTTGTTGGATCCCAACTCTCACCTGCTTCAGCAAGTACTGTCAATGATTGGCAGTAATGAAAGCTGCAGTTTAGCAACATCTGGAAGACCACACTCTCCCCACCTGGCGCCATCTTTGGCTATCCAGCTATCATCACTGATGATTTATTTTAATTTTATTTTTTTTACAAAGTAACCTACACGGTCCTACCACAGCTTTATAAAATCATTGCATGATCTTTAAGGATACAAAAGCTGGTGTGAAAAGAGGATATTCCTGAAACTGAGCAATATTAAGGGAAAGAACGTTTGAACTGAAAGGGTGGGAAGCAAAAAAGGATGCAGGTTTTCCATGTGAGGACAGGCAGAAAGGCAGGATCCAAGAGGATGCATCTGACACCAACCCCTTTAGACTGCTAGATTTGCCCAAAGCAACAGCTCCTGACCAGGCTAGCTGCTCCCTGGCCTGGGGCCACCCATTCACACCTCCATCTCTGGTTTCCTCTTCACCCTCCAACATGGCTGCAACTTTGAGAGCCCAGTTTGTCAAACACACTGTAGTTCGCAGTGCCACCTGTCTGTGGCTGAGAAAACGACAGCATTATTTCTTTAAATCTATTTTTATATTGCCAAAATTTAATATAGGTGCTTTTGTTTAGATACTGAAGGGTATGGGAGAGATTATTAGGTAATAAAAGATACTTACTCAAGGTAAGAAGAAAACACCATATTTAATATTTTCCTTTTTGTATCCAATATCACAGAAACAACATCCCAGAACCAAAGTAGCCTCAAGTAAAAAATAAAGTAAAAAGGTGCCTTCTAATCTCAGTATGCCAATTCAAACTGGCTCTCGCTGTTGCCCAAAACAGTGCAAGTCCAACCCTAGTTGCTTGCAAGGAAGTCCCACTGAATTCAATGGTGCTTAACTCCTAGATTAAAGAATCATAGAATCATAGAGTTGGAAGAGACCACAAGGGCCATCGAGTCCAACCCCCTGCCAAGCAGGAAACACCATCAGAGCACTCCTGACATATAGTTGTCAAGCCTCTGCTTAAAGACCTCCAAAGAAGGAGACTCCACCACACTCCTTGGCAGCAAATTCCACTGTCAAACAGCTCTTACTGTCAGGAAGTTCTTCCTAATGTTTAGGTGGAATCTTCTTTCTCGAAGATCTTTCTCGAAGCCCTTCCAACTACAAATAACTTTTTTTGCTGCTGTACCTTAGAAAAATGCAATAAGCATTAGCCTTTCCTTTCCAAAAAAGGCCTGGCACTATTTAGCGTATAACATATGCACACACACACTTTTCAGAAATAAAACACTTCTTTTAATTGGCAAATAGAACACACATTGCAGGTCATTAGTATTTAATTAAAAGACTATTAAGTTACAAATACACTTTAAAAAAAAACAAGACTGGCATTCAAATGGCAGTTCACGGCACATAGTACAGTTCTTTGTCCAGCCTTCCTGTTGGCAACCAATAAGATATCAGTTCTCATAGGCTTCTAATATACTCAAATGCTAAGAAGAATAAAATCTGTAACCACTAAAAAACAGAGGTTGTGTAAAAGTTCTCATTCCTTATTTTCATGGGATTTGAGCATTGTGGGGCTGGATTGCCGACATTTGTTTTCTATATTTCTTTTCTGCTTCAAGTGCCTGGCGAACATTACAGACTTACTATTATGCAGAAGTATGGAATCTTCTCATCAAGCTGAAAGCTCATTAATTATGGTCCAAAAATACGCCCACACCCCATAACTTCTGTTACATTACTTAGACTTTCATCAAAGCCCAGCATGCATTGAACCAGACTTTTAAGGAGGCTATGACATATAGCTAAACAGCAATATACTGTGTGTGCATATATCTATAGATAGATACACACTCACACAGACACACAGGGTTGGATCAACACTGTTCATTATACTTAGGTCCACTGAAATCCATGGGACTTCAGATAATCAAGATTATTTTTTCACACTGATTTCAGTGAAACCTAAGTATGACTTCGTCTGAATCCCAGTCACTACATACATACATACATACATACATCACACACACATGCACACAAGTCATCTTCACTCCTCCTCTTTGACAACATTTACTTGTTTTTTATGAGGTTCATAACTCAGTCCACTTCATCTACATGCATATTAACAAGATACACCTTTGTATCAATGCAATTTAAAACAAAACAAAAAATGAAACACATCTCTATTATTGAAACACTTTTGTAAAAAGTACAACTCTCGTCCCAAACAATCGAGTAGTGCTAGGAGAACATGAACTTCAGTTTCAAACATAATTCAGTCCAAAATAAAAAAGCCTTTACAACTTTTTTGTTGTGGACTCTGTATGCCCTTCCCCCCAACACTCTTCTCCTGCAGAGTTAAGGCAGCACTATTTCCTAATTATAACAAGCTACTCTTAAGTTACAGCTCTGTCCATCTTCAGCCTGCTTTAAAAGGAATGTTTTCCTACGTGGATAATACTTCTTTGTAGGTTGTGCAAACCATGTGGTAGAGAAAATCAGAATGCAGGAGGCTACTTCCGTCGCATCCATTTCCCCGTCTGAAATGCATTGGTATTTAGTTTGCAGCAATCAGATCTCTCTGGTAAAGTTATTATGAGAGAATACAGCAGTTCCTAGCTTTTTTTTTTCTTTCAAAATTTCCCTGAGGAAGAACCTGCTGAGGTTCAAAAACAATTTAGGGCTACCGTGCTACACAGCAAGACCATTTTCAACTATTGATTTTAACTCTGCTTTCTTCAGCATGTGCGCAGTTCAAACAGGACACGCGTTCTTATCGCACATGACAAACTGCTCACGGCACAAACACTTTTTTTTCTACATGGAAATACTTTTGATATAGAAAAATTGCTGCATTGGAAATGGCCCTTAGGAACATGGAAACAAATAAGAGGCAGTAATTCAGAAATGCAAACCAAACTTTCTCGGACCAGTCTTCCATGTATTCTTGTACTATTTACACTTTGAATTAATTTCCATTATTCTTAATGGCACCACTATATAGCAAAAATAGAAATCGACAGAATGCCTTGGTGGAAACGATTTTGTATCTCAAAAATATCGAAGAGTACCATTTAAATATTAGAATTTTACCTTAAAAAGCCAGCTCTTAACCAAATATTACACGGCTGATGTGAAGACCAAAATACCCTGCTTTTCAACCTGCTTGTGGGGAGACCGCACTAAAAACCAAAAAAGAGCTAATCTCCGCTTAAGTTTTAAACATAGCCATAAAAAAGCAAGTGTTGCAAAGCCTTTGCTAATTGCTGTGTGGCATAGAAAAGAAAGTAGTCAGCAACCAAAAAATAAGAAATCTAAAAGAATGCTCTCAACCATGTACAGGACTGTGGAAGTTGTCAATATGAAATCCACACACCTTGATCATTGAACTGATCACTAGATTCCAAGAAACCAGAGCAACATTTTTTTTAAAAAAAGAAAAAACAGCTCAAACACAACACATACAATGAAAATTGCCTAGAAGGCAGAGTTCCTTCATCTGTTAGTTATCAGATGAATAAAGTGCATAGCAACTATTGTAACAGTTCTTGGAGAGAGACAGAGAGAGAGAAAACACTTAGCAAGCCTCAGCGAGCTCGATGTTTAGGTAGGTACATCCCGCTACTGGTTGGCTTCTCTTTGTTCATTTCATTCTTTTCCTTTCTCTCATTTCGACCCGTCAACAGCACCGCCTTTTAAATTCCTTCAGACTTCAAATGGAATGCGCTGAGATTTCTGACTGCTGCCTGATGTAGCTCTGGAAGCTCTTGTCACCGATGGGGTGTTCCCTAGAGAAGGAGGAGAAAAGCAACAAAACAGGGAGGTTTTGCTTCTGAAGCTGCAGGTCTAAAGAAGGCAGACCTGAAGCAAAACAACAAACCCCAAAAAAGGAGAAGGGTTTCTACCTTTCACCCTGTAGGTCATGATACTTTGGCCTTCCAAATGTCGCTGAACAACAGCTCCCATTGGCCACAGCAAGCATGGCCAATGGTCAGGGATGATGGGAGTTGTAGTCCAGCAACATCGGGAGGACCAGTGGGTTCCTCACACGTGCTTTAGGAAAGAGATATGGCCTGTGTGATAGCATCATGGGAACTCGTGAAAATGAACAAGAGACATCTCTGGTTTCCAAAATTACAGGCTGCAGTTCATTTTAGATGGTCGAGGGGCAGGGGGCAACCAGATAATACTGCAGGTGGCATTTTGGCAGGACCAGGGAGCAAGGTGAGAACTGCAGGATACCCTGAGCCTGTGAATAATTTTACAGGAGGGTGCTCTACTGCATAGAAAATATCTGCAGGCAGGAAGTTGAGGACTTTTATATTTTGAGTAGGAAAGGGCAGTGGTGGATTGTGGGGCTGAATTGCCTAGCTTGGCACAGGAACATAGAAAATTGCCTTGTACAAAGTCAAATCACTGCTCCATCTAGCTCTACACGGAGTTTTTAGCAACTCTTCAGGTTTTCAAGGGTTTTCCAGCCCTCCCTGGAGAAGGAACCTGGGGTCTTCTGCAGGCGAAATATGTGCTGTACCATTTGAACTGCAACTTTCCCCAAACTGAATGACTAGCCAGGTCTGGATGTAGAACACACCAAGCTACATCTCCTCTGAAAAATGCTTTCTGTGCATTATTAAAGATCACACCCACCCAGAGCAACCCACACTTACTGGCTTCCATATTTTGTCTTCTTGAATTTATCCCTCTTGTACTGGGCATGTTCTTGCTCGAGGGTTTTAA